GTTTTCTATATTTCAGCAGAAAACAGTTTGAAAATCTGAAACATATTTACATTGGTACACATATCAGCGAAGCATGAAATATTTAGGAATAAATATAACAAAATACATAAAGAATCTTTGCATAAAAAAGTGTAAAACAGAGAGGAGTTAAGGAAGACCAAAATAAACAGAAGGCTCTATCATGTACATAGGTTGCACGATTCAATATTTGTAAAGATGGCAAGTCTCTCCAAATTGTTTATTGCAAGCAAGCAATTCTAGCAAACTTTTATTTATATTTTATGGAACTGCATAAGTTGACTCTAAAATTTACATAGAAATTCAAAGAGCCTAGACAATTTTGAAAAAAGTGGTCTGACACACTCTATTGGATGTCAAGAACTGTGGAGGAATAAACATCATGCTTACAAGGACAGTCACCGGTTCTTAACACATTGATGGAAATGCTGAGAGCAAGACATTCTCCTGGCAAGCCTAGAGAAATCTTGTAACTCGGAGGCAAGCCCCTAGTAACTCAGTCTTCACGAATGAGATAAGATCAGTTACTTGACAGTAAGCAGGTGTTAAACCTTAAACATCTTATGGTACTTCATTGTGGGAGTTGTGGAGAAAGCCCATAGTTTCCTTTTTGTGGTCTTTAAACACGTAGCTCCTGTACATCATTACTCAGAACTCTTCATACCTGTTATCTCCCTCAATGAATAGCCACTGCAAGGGTTGTTTGAGGCTCTCCTGTCTGGGGAGCCTCACCTCTTGCAAACTAGTACTTTCAATCTGCATCCTGCTGTTTCCTTCCAGCGGCTCTGACAAAGAACTATTATAAAGTGAGAATAGTTAAGGCAATATAGTATTGGCACTAGGATAGACAGATGTACAGAATTAATTGCCTTTGTTAAAATCAAGAATCCATACATGAAATCCGCTGAATCCTGAAATCCATTCAGCCCAATTCTCACTCTAGTTTCATTCTGGCTTTGGTGTCCTGACAATGCTTAGTATCTTTCTTCCCAGCCCAGAGGAAGTGTTGCCTGGCTCCGACACTATAGTATTGGGTGCCTATGAGATCATGCCTGACACTTGTACATGCATTACCCCAATGGGCCATGTGAGGGTATAGTGAGAAGGCACCTGTCTACAAGCCCAGAAGAGAGCCCTTACCAGGAAACAAATCTGCTGGCATCTTGTTCTTGGACCTACCAGTCTCCAGAACTGTAAGAAACAAATGTCTATTTTTTTTTAATTGAATGGTGACTATGTACATTAATGAATTTCTGGGGTACAGTGTGGTATTTTCACATACAATTTGAAACATTTCATTAAACTGGTTAACATAGCCTTCATGTCATTTACCTAGTTATTGTGCCAAAACGTTCATATTCTACTCTTAGAAAGGTTCACTTGTACCCACAAATGTCTATTTTTTAAGCCACCCAGTCTAAGGTATTTTGTTATGGCAACTGGAGCTTACTAATGTACACTGAATAGTTTTTGAATATTTCCAATACCATAAGAATCTCTTATGTTAGCCCTTTATAATCACCTTCCATTTCTAAAATTCTGTCATTTCAATATTGTCATATATAAATGGAATTTTCCATTGTTCCATTTGAACAATTTTACCAATTTTACCTTTTTGGCCGTGGTTTTTTCCACACATATCAAAAAGTTATTCTTTTTTATTGCTGAGCAGTATTTCATGTCGTGTTTGTATCACAGTTTGTTTAACCACTCAATGAATTAAAGGATATTTGGACTGATTCCAGTGTTCTCCTATTACAAATAAAACTGCTATGAATGTTTGTGTACAGGTTATTGGTGAGCATGTAAGTTTTCATTTCTTTAGTATGAATGTCCAAAATACAAATTCTGAGTAACATGTTTAGTTTTATAAGAAACTGTCAAAGTGTTTTCCAGAATGACCATACCATTTCCCATTCCCAGTAACAAGATGAGTGATCCAGTTTCTTTGCATCCTTGCCAATATTTGATGTCACCACTATTTTTTTATTGTAGTTATTCTGAAAGATTTGTAGTGCTATCTCATTGTGGTTTAATTTACATTTCCCAATGGCTAATGATGTTGAACAATTTTCTGTAAGATTACTAGCCAGCTATATATCCTCCTTGGGAAAACGTCTCTATCTCTTGCCTATTTTTGAATTTGATTATTTGTATTTTACTGTGGAATTTTGAGAGTTCTTTATATCCTACAGATTAGTTCTTTTTTGGACATGTGGTAAGCAATTACTTTCTGTCTCTAGCTTGTCTTTTTAACCTCTTCTCATGGACATTCACAGAACAAAAAGAGTTAATCTTGATAAGGCCCTGGTTACCAATTTTTTCTTTTATGGATTGTGCTTTTAGTGACAAGTCTAAGAAGTTTTTCTCACTCCAGGTTCCGAAAATTTTCTTCTACTTTTTTTCTATAAATTTCATTATTAAGTCTATGATAATCTTTGAGTTTTATATTTTATATAAAATGTAAAACTTAGGTTGAGGTTCACGTCATTTTTTAAAGCCTTTTTCCCCATTGAATTGCTTAATCTTTATCAAAAATCAGTTAGGAATATTTATAGGGGCATATTTCTGGGTTCTCTTTTCTGTTCCATTAATCTATGTCTATCCCTCCACCAGTATCACACTGTCTTGATTACTGTATCTATACAATAGGACTTAATATTAGGTAGAATGGTTCTCCTAGCTGTATTCTTCAAGTTTGTCTTGCCTATTTTAGGGCCTGTGCCTTTCTATATAAATTTTAGATTAAGTTAGTGTCTGTCTACCAAAAACCTTGCAGGGAATTTGAAAACTAGGAATTGCAATAAATCTATAGATTAATTTGGGGAGACTTGGCATTTTTACTATGCTGGATCTTCCAGTTCATGAACATGGTATGTCTTTATTGAAGTCTTTAATTCCTTCGTTGGTATTTGGTACTTTTCAGGTTCCTGTTCCACTTTGTTAAGCCTATTTCTAAGTATGGAATATCTTTAGAGTGATTGTACTGGTATAACATTTTGAATTTCAGTTTCTTTATATTTATTGTTAGCATATAGAAGTATGACTGAACTTGTGTGTTTATCTTGTGTTTGCTAAACTTCTAAGTTTTTTTTTTT